AAACCCCAAATACTACTGCTGGACCGGCTCTATGAAATTTTTTGTGCCGAACCGGACTTAGTCCGACATATTTTTAGGTTAGGAACAAAAAAAATAGAAAAAAAAAGGTAGGTTAAGTAAGTATGGGTCAAATTGGATGATTTTTATCCAAAGAAAAGCACCTTTTAAACTTTTTAACTTTCGGGGGGGGGGGGGGGGGGGATAGTATAGTATTTGGGTACATAGGGTGGAATCCTAAGTGTTGAGGGCATGGATGTCTAGAAAGTTAAAATTGGGAGGGGGCAGTGGGGTTAGCGATTTTTTCTTAAAGAAAGCTTCTTGAACTTCATAACATATATTCTAAGCCATCCAATTTGATATCTAATGACTAGAAGTAATTGTGGCCTCCTTGTAACAATGATAAATAGTATCGTAGTATACAATCCCCAAGTAAAAAGGGATATGAATTTTAATGAATCATGAAGTTTATCAATCGCATTCTATGAATCATGAACATTGTCGTTCCAATCAATACGCATGCATAAATGATTGTGTGCGCACGCGCACATGTAAAGGAAAAGTATAATATATTCATATCTGATTCCATATAAACAACTCCCTCAATGCCCTTCTGTCAATCATTGTTCATCGACAGGAAAAGGGTTAGTTCGTGGTGGTAGCACCCCCGTACCTTAGTCACGACGTTATTGTTTTCATTCCCACTTACACCATCCCACAAACACCTTAAAAAAACTAACTCATAAAACTATTCCAAAAAATGGGTAACCTGTCTTCCCAATTGAATTACCCCAAAAAAAAAAGATCCAATAAAAGTTTGGAAAAATTATAAACCCCCCCTCTCCAAAAAAAAATATGAAAAAGAAAAAGAGAAAAAGAACAACTGTTTAGGCATGTCTCTCTTAATATTTTTTTAAACCACATCGCTTAATTCTAACACTGTTTTTTTTCATTCAACCCCCCTAAGGAAATAAATATTTTTTTTTCACAAAAATACCCCTTCATAAATGCATATTTGTCTTTGTTTTTTGTCCCTATTAAAACCAAACCGGCACACACGTTAATGAAACTGGTCCCTATTAAAGCATTGTCCGACACACATTGTGCCTGACTGGCCTCAGTAGGTATTGTTCTGGACTGGCTTCTATAGGTATTGTGTCGAACCGACTTCAATAGGGACAAGCCGGTCCGACACAATTTTTAGTTTCCTATTTTAAATAAAATTTCCTACTCTATGATTAGAATTTAGACAATACACCAAAATTTTAAATGAAGAATGCATAAGGTAACTAATGAAAAATTTGTAAAAATAGTACATTATTTTCAAATTAAGGGTGATATTTTCATAAGGCATCAACCATAAATTGCGTAAGACGCACAGCTAAACTATGCTCAAGGACGCAATTTTGATGCCGAAAAGCCTTGTTTGGTACCGAACATATCCATTCCTTTAATAAAGTATGGTAATACTGAACAACCATAAAAATTTAAAAGTGAAAGTATTTGGTACTCTTAGGGGTCGTTTGGATACTTGAAAATCCATTACAAGGAAACAGATTACAAGAAAATCTAGCGTTTTCAGTGTTTGGGTACACCTAAAGAGTAAGGAAATGAAAATAGATTACGCGTCATTAAGGAAATGAAAATAGATTACGCGTCATTTCCCCAAATATCGTGAATACTATTACACGTCGGAAAGCTAAGAAATCAATTACGGGGTGCCCACGATTAATTGTTATGCGTCATTTCTCCAAATCCCTTCGCTGCTAACTCAATATATCTTCTCTGTCCCTCTTCGAGCCTCCTTTCTCTGTGGTCTCTCTACAAGCAAGCCGTACGAGTAACCTCTGCGAGCAAATTTACTACCTCTCTCTCATAGCAACAAACTTAGAGCAACCTCGAGTAAAATTGTTGTCTTTCTCTCTCTTAGAGCAACCTCTCTCACTGTGTCCCAGTAAGAGCAATTTCTCTCTCACCGTGTCCAAGTCAGCATCTGTCTCTCTTACCGTATCCAAGTAAGAGCAATTTATCTCTCTCTGTTAAAAAATCGAGCAATGATCCAATGCAATGGTTGTATCACAATACAATGCAATGACACTTCTAGAAAACTATATTTGTGGTAGTTGTATAATCCCAAATTTTGCACACACACTCTCTTCATCTCAATAATCAACTCGCCGTCTGCTCTCAAAAGTAAAAGTTCAATTTGAACCCTAGATATGGTCAAAATGAGTCCCTTCCAAAAACG